AAAACATGTACACACACACACACGCGCACGCTCACACAAATCTGTCCTCAGGAGGCCTCTGCTGTCGCTCACCACAAACCTCTCACACCCTGCCTTCCTCCTGCTCCATTCTGCCTCCATTGTTGGGAGTTTAATTCCAGGGAAGCGGGCTGAAATCAGAGGAACTCTTTGTTTAATAAAGCGTGTCAGGTTCAGCTCTTTGTTGGCAGAGGAGAGACAATGCAAAGCTCAGTCACCAGACTTCCAGGCTCCTCTTTAATGTGTTGTCATAAAGCAAGCAGCTGGCAGAGACTCAGTGCTGCGGCTCAGTCAGGCCCGGGTGTTGCCCTCTTCATTGTGTCTTACTGTAGACCCGACCGCACACCCTTTCATTTCACAACTCAGCTGAAAACCTGGAGAAATAAAGGTCTTTAAAAAAAAGAAAGAAAAGGAAGAAAACTTCCTCTGCTGTCGTCTGAATATTCTGGGACGGTGGAGGAAAAAGGGCCTCGTTTGGCAGCGCTCTCTGTCATGAATTTTTCAGACTTCAGGCTGGGATCTGATTTACTTCTCCTCTCCTGAACGGGCAGAGGGGCTCTGCAAGCTGCCAGGTGGTGAAGCCCTTTACTGTGCAGTGGTGTGGCTTTCAGAACCCGGTCCAAGTCCAAACCAGATTTGTTTTAGTTGAGGGTTTGCAAACAACTTCCTGCAGTCCCAGTGAGTCTGCTGCATGAATCTATTAGGCCTTGATTCTTTATGCAGGTGTTTGTATGAAGGCTGTTCTGTGAGTTGTGGAGAGGTGAAGTTTATTTTGAAGATTGATCTTCAGATGTTCAAGGTGCAGTCGTGGAGGGGAGGTGGTCTGGTTCAGGAACCTTGGAGGTCTCGTCTCTGCTTTATATGGATGTGGATCTGTTGTCGAGCCATGGCCTTCAGCCACAAGTGTAAAGTAATAAAGTACAAATACTTTGTTACTTTACAAAGAAAAATTTTGGTTATATGCTCTTCACTGGAGTAACTCTTTTTCAGCTGACTTTTCACTTCTACTTTTTACATTTTTAAAATGTAAGAAGTAGAAAGTTGTTATTTCATTTCAGCTTGTCATCGTGCATCCCAGCATTTTTCACATTAATATTTCAATATAACATTGTGGTCTTTAGAAAAACGTTTGGGGGATCAACTACCAAAACATCTAACCACTCACTTTTATTCAGCATTTTTACTTTTAATACTTAAATACATTTTATATCAGAAATCTACTTTTGATGCTTAAGTACAGTAATTGTCAGAAATTTTAAGGCTTTTACTCAAGTAATATTCTTAGAGGAGAGTAACTTTTACCAAGATACTTGTACTTTTTTTTATTTACCGTTATTTATCCAGAAAAATCCAACTGAGATCGCAGATCTCTTTTACAAGGGAGGCCGAGCCTGGAGGCAACCTGTTGTACATGTTTAAAATAAATAAATAATAACTTAAATAATTTTTTTAAAAAAATCAGCGTTAGAGATAAGAGGAGGGGGGGCTTGAAGTAGGGCCACTGTGATCAAATTTCAGAACCATTCCTCTGAGCGTGACATCTCACRTCGTCACAATAAATTGTGCATAAAGTTATTTTGAAAGTTTGGTTAAAAYGGCTACAACTCTGTCGTTTTACATTTGATGATTTGGTTTAAATCTGGCATTAAAGGTGGCGGGCGACGCCCTCAAGGAATGCTAGGCCTTTAAGTTCTTTAAYTCTGTTACGAGCTTCAGAAACCTCAGAAACTTAACAAATTATTACTAATTAAAATTAAACAGAACATTTATCTCAATAAAAACAATATTTTTACTGGAAACTAAAAAAAACATGAACATATTTGTCACAWCCTGAACCCACAATGCAGTTTTTCTAAATGATCTTTGTTTTGTGAATAAAACATGATATATTGACAGTACATCATCCTATGTGAAGCAGAACCACGGCAAAGTGAAGTGTATTTTTTTT